TGGAGCTTGGACCTTGGGTAGAAGAATACACCAATCTTGTTGAAGCTTTAAAGTACATAAATCCAAGGGAGGTACATGGTAGGATCTTGAAATCAAATATCCTTGATGATCTAGAAGTAAAACTATGTGGCATAAACTTCTCTAGAGTTTGAGCACATGGCTATGAGCTTGGGTTGGGAGAGGTTGGTGATGATGATGAAGCCTTAGGAGTTGGAGCATAAGGAGGAGGACTTGAGGTTGGCCTTGAGGGAGCTTGAATAACTTGTAGAAAGTTTGGGTATGAAGTAGCAAGTAGCCTTGAAGAAATGAGTTCGAAGAAATGAAGAGGACCCTTTTGTATTTGGTGGAGCTTGATGTTGGATGAAGAATGAGAGAAGGATGAATGGTTGTGATTGGTTGAGTTGGATAAGATGTGGGTGATGAATGTGGCCTTGAAGTGAAGGCTTGGTGAAGATAATGGATGTGGCTTTGAAATTAAGGCTTGGTGAATGAGATGTATTTGGCTTTGATTTTAAGGCTTGGTGAGTGGAATGAATGTGGCTTGGATTGGAAGGCTTGGTATGGAATCTTTTGTTTGATTGGTGGATAATGGGATGGGAAAGATGATGAGAATAGGAGGAGATTTGAGGTGGGGGATTGATAGGTTTTGATTGGTGAAAAGAAGATGATGCTTTTTTGTCTAAAGATATGAAGGTGTGGTGGCGAGTGGGCATTTTTGCAAGATGCCTTTTGCAGATTCGGATTTTGGCCGACGAGGAAATTGCGGCAAATATTTTCGCCACGTGAAAAAAATTCCCACCACCCTGATAACACACAAGCAGCAGCCGCAGTTCACTGCAACACCCCCCCGCACTGCTGACCCTCAGAGCGAGATGAAGATGGAGCGGAAGGGACAGCAGTGGAGAAGGACTGAAGAGACTCGAGCGGCACCAATCCAGCACGTTGGCGTTCCAAGGATGAAGAGGTGCCGCCATGCGAGTGCGCCGTGCGAGCGAGGCTGCCACTGAGACTGCGGCCGTGACCGCGACTGCCAGAAGCCTCAAAAGCGAGATATCTGCGGGAAGCGGGGATGACAGCATGCGCGCCAGGGTGGGGGTGGGGGTGGGGGTGGGGGTGGGGGTGGGGATGGGGGTGGATGGCGGAACGGTGGAGGCGAGCGTCCGCGTGGCAACGCAGATCGCAGTGCCGGGCGTGAGCCTCCCTGTCACCTTCAACACCCTCCGCTGCTTCAACCTTCCCCGGGCGGCGCGCAAGGCGGCGGGCGACGTGGAGGTGTGGTGGCACGGACTCACGGGCGGCAGCAAGGGCGGCGGTGGGTCGCAGGGGAAGGGCGACGGTGCGGCGTGCAAGCAGCTGCAGTTCTTTGCCAACCCGGCCTGCAAGGGCAAGGCGCTGGATGCGGTGCTGCAGCCGCATTTTGCCGCTCTTCGGAAAATCTTCAACGTGCCGAGGTGGGTGGGTGGGTGGGTGAATGGGTGGGTGGGTGGGTGGGTGAATGGGTGGGTGGGTGGGTGGGTGGGTGGATGGGTGGATGGGTGGATGGGTGGGTGGGTGGATGGGTGGATGGGCCATGGTCATGGTCGTAGATGGAGGGCAGGTGATGGATTATGACGAGTGAGTGATAGGTGGGTGATGGGAGCTGGTAAGTGAGTGTCCCATGCCCCAATCGTGAGGAACAGTTGCGAGGAACAGTCGTGCTTTGGGTTGAGTTGCCATAACATAAGAACGTTCCCGTCTTATCCAAATGTGTTCGCAGTGTTTCACCTCAACATGCTTCTAATGACTCATCTCGACATGCTCCTTATTACTCATATCAACATGCTCCTAATGACTCATCTCAAATGTTCTTAATGTTTCATCTTCATGTGTTCCTGCCATCCTCGCTTGCAGCTCAAAGAAGATTTCCCGGTGGTCTTCAGTTTCCTGCAAGACTGGTGCGTGCCTCGCCTCCTCGCTTCCTTGCCTCCTTGCCTCCTCGCCTCCTTGCCTCCTCGCCTCCTTGCCTCCTCGCCTCCTCGCCTCCTCGCCTCCTTGCCTCCTCGCCTCCTCGCCTCCTTGCCTCCTTGCCTCCTTTGGCTGATGCTTGTCACCAGCCATGTCGCATCTCTCTGTACTCCCCCATGTGGCATCTCTCTGTGCTCCCCCATGCGGCATCTCTCTGTCCTTCCCCATGCGGCATCTCTCTGTGCTCCCCCATGCGGCATCTCTCTGTGCTCCCCCATGCGGCATCTCTCTGTGCTCCCCCATGCGGCATCTCTCTGTGCTCCCCCATGCGGCATCTCTCTGTGCTCCCCCATGCGGCATCTCTCTGTGCTCCCCCATGCGGCATCTCTCTGTGCTCCCCTATGCGGCATCTCTCTGTGCTCCCCCATGCGGCATCTCTCTGTGCTCCCCCATGCGGCATCTCTCTGTGCTCCCCCATGCGGCATCTCTCTGTGCTCCCCCATGCGGCATCTCTCTGTGCTCCTCCATCCTGCCAGCCAGGCGCCACCTGCCATAATGCATTGCATAAATATTATATCCAAATATGGTATTGACTGCCCACATTGCATATATCTCACCCCACATGTCTCTGCTACCCACGTGTCTCTGTGATACCCACGTGTCTCTGTGCTACCCATGTGTCTCTGTGCTACCCACGTGTCTCTGTGCTACCCACGTGTCTCTCTCACCCCATGCTGCCAGACATCACCTGCCAGCACGCCACGTGTCCCACCAACTCCACGTGCATGCCAACAACTGACAGCAAGGGCGTCACCTGTCCTTGCAACCAGGGCTTCGCTGTTGTCAATGGCACTTGCCGAGGTATGCCGCTACTGATGACGTTTTGTCTCTCCTGCACCCTTTGCTCACCTGTCCATGCAACCCGGGCTTTGCTGCCGTTAACGGCACTTGCCGAAATACGCTGCTGTACAGTGGCATTGTGGCACTTGCCGAGGTGCGGTGCTACTGACGCTGCCATTGATGGCACCCGCCGAGGTACGCTGTTACACTGTGACGTTGTGGTTATCTGGTCACTGGTAAGAAAAATTCTTTACAGCATTAACTTTGTTGTTGCACGAATGTGAGAGGCGCACTATTGTTTGCACATTTTCTCTGTTTATTTGACCACACGTTTTTGTTGTACACCCCATGGTTATCACACTTTTTTTGTAACCTTTTCCTTGCAACCTTGTGTCCTGTGGTGAATTGCACGCTTGGCAGCAGTTGCATGAAACTTGGCCTCCCCGCAACTCCCTTTGCCTGCAGACTTGTGTGATACAGTGAATTGTGGGGCTGGTGGCAACTGCACGAGGGATGCAAATGGAAAGCCATCCTGCAGTTGCAACACGGGCTTTAAGCCATCTTTTGACAGGCTCTCTTGCGTTGGTGAGTTGGAGGAGTGCAATACAGAGCACATTCATTGCGTTTCATACCCGGTCCTTCAAACTTGGCCTCCCCTCAACTCTCGTGCAGCAGTTACTGAATTGCGTGGATATCCAACCCTGTGACCCTGTCAATATCCCAATATGATTGTTTCCTGGTGTGCTAACATCCTTCAACTGTCCTGGGTTCTGTTTCCTACAGACTTGTGCGATGGGGTCAAGTGTGGGCCTGGAGGCAACTGCACCAAGGATGCGAGCGGAAAGCCGTTCTGCAGTTGCAATGTGGGCTTCAAGCCGTCTAACGACACGCTCTCTTGCATTGGTGAGTTGGAGAAGAATTCAGCATAGAGGGGATTCTTGAGTCTGCTCAAAAGTCATCGTGACGGGCTCTCTTGCGTTGGTGAGTAGGAGGTTTGAAATGCAGAGCGTGTACTCTGCGTTGCAAACCCGAAGTAGTCGGCCTCCCCTCAAATTATAATGCAATAAATAAAAAGCTTTTCATGCATAGAAAGTCTGCGACCTTGACTATCACCACTTTTTCTTTTCATTTTCTTTTTTTGTTTTTTGTAGTATGATGCAAATTTTTACTTGCCTGGGTCGCGTTGCCTGCAGACAACTGTGCCACAGTGGATTACGGTGCCAATGGCAAGTGTGTGAGGAAGGACAACGGCGATCCCACCTGCCAGTGCAACGTGGGCTTCGGGATGCCTCTGAACGAGCTGCGTTGCGTCGGTGAGTTGCTACAGTGGTCTCGTTTGGAGGGTGGAGATTCGGTGTACCACTTCTTTCTTGAGTTGCTATCATGCATGATTGAGTTGTTATCATGCATGATTGTGTTGCTATCATGCATGATTGTGTTGCTATCATGCATGATTGTGTTGCTATCATGCATGATTGTGTTGCTATTATGCATGATTGAGTTGCTATCATGCATGATTGAGTTGCTATCATGCATGATTGTGTTGCTATCATGCATGATTGTGTTGCTATCATGCATGATTGTGTTGCTATTATGCATGATTGAGTTGCTATCATACATGATTGTGTTACTATCATGCATGATTGTGTTGCTATTATGCATGATTGAGTTGCTATCATGCATGATTGATTGTTATTAATCACGTGTACATGCAACCAGGCCTTTGCTGCCGTCAATGGCACTTGCCTAGGTTCTCTGCCTACACTTTTGTATTTTTTGGAGAAAACAAACACACGTCATGCGAATCTAAGTCTGTGACGTTTGACTATCAGCACTTGAATCCGATTGTAGTCTAATAAGATGCTATCTTTGCATGTGCCTGGGTCTCGTTGCCTGCAGACAACTGTGCCGCAGTGGATTGCAGTGCCAATGGCAAGTGTGTGAGGAAGGACAACGGCGATCCCACCTGCCAGTGCGACTCAGGCTACGAGATGCCTCTGAACGAACTGCGTTGTGTCGGTGAGTTGCTGCAGTGGTCTCGCCTGGAGGGTGGAGATTCGGTGTACTGTTCGCACTTCTTTCTTGAGCTACTTTCTTGTGTGTTCCACCTTTATTTCACTCTTTTTTCAAACGTCATTCGTGTTGTCTATTTTCCCCTTCTTCCACCCCATCCTTACATGCACTCCTATCAGACATGGCTTGCAACGTGTTGGGTTGCGATCCAGATGGGGTTTGTGTGAACAGCACCGATGGGATTCGCTCTTGCAAATGGGGTAAGCATGGTGGTTTTTAGCTTTATGCGTCCCCAACCCAGCCCATCCACACTTTCCACTAGCTATATCATTTGCCGCAGTCAATTAGAAATAAAACCTTCACTCATTTCGCCATCTCTCTGCCCATTTCCCTGGTTGCTGTGTTGCTCAGAGTCACCGTGCGGCACATGCCCCTCTGGAGCCACATGCAAGACCGTCCATACAAGTCGTCATGAAGAGGCGGACGTGCCATACTGCGAGTGCCCTCCCAACTATGGCATAACCGCAACAGGATGCATTGAGAGTAAGATTCAAGAGTGCCCTGCCTGCTTTGTACCCTTTGCACCCTTTGCACCCTTCGTACCCTTCGATGGCTCCATTCTCCTGAGTCTGTGTATGATGATGGCTGACGAGGTGGGATAGCATGGTGGTGGATGAGGAAAGCTGAGAGTTTCGAGATGTCTCGATATCTTGAGACGGCAGTCGGGGTGAAGTATCTGCTATGCTGCAATTTTACCTTTTTTGCAGATTAATGATTGCTTCAACTTGGGAATGTAACGGCAACTCTAACATGCAGCAGCAGTCAACTTGGCCGCGTGTCAATCGATCCTTCTTCCATCCTTTCTCCACATTTCCCCTGCTGCTTGTGCCATCCATTCTCAGACGCAACTGACCAAGTGGTTGCCAGCAGTTGGACACTTATCAAGGATCGCAATGCCAGAGGCAGGGCGTCCAAGCCCTACACCTTCCGCTTAAAAAGAGGATGCAATTTGATCCCGGAGGAGTACGCTGGGAACTTCAGGACGATGTACGCGGTGGATTACATCGGCAGTGTTACGGGTTGTAACTCAGTCGGTTATTACAATAACTATGAGTGCCATGTGAACTGGTACCTTGGAGGACATTCGACCCTGCAACCTGTTCGACAACCAATTGCGTGAGTTGCCAATCACAAATCATTTAAGTATGCATTTTGACATACCGAGATCTTTCTCTCCTTTCTCTTTACACAATGCAATGCAGCCCATTCATCTCACTTATTCTCCTGCATGTCTTTCCCTCTTCATCAACCAGGATAACTTTTCCTCAGCCACATTCAATCCGTGCTATCCTATGCAGAAATGGTTAGCGCTCTTCAATAATTGCTCGTGATTTGTAACGTCCTAGTATAATCATTGTCAGCCCTTTATATCATAATTATCCTTCAGGCATACCATAAACCCCCGGATATAAGACCCCCTCCAGTTGTAGGCCCCCGCAAGGCCTCAGATTCGTTTTGGGTGACCCTGAGCACTCAGGGTCCTTTGGGGCTGTTACACTGATCATCAGGGTTGTAGATGGAGAAACACTGATTTCACAGGGTTAAAAATAAAAAAACACTGACACATCAGCGTCAGTTAAAAAAAAACACAGACTGTCAAAATCCACAACAATCACACGTATAATAAGTTAATAAAAGTTCGAATATTGTTCTAATGAACTTCTAACTACCGGCACAGTACAGACCATTACGGGCTCACACCGCACATACAATTCACATCACACACATGTCTTCATCATCGTCACTACCACCATCGCTCATAGAACCGTGCCTGTGCACGGGGGTCTCTGCCCCCCACCCAGAGCCAGCACCACCAGCATCATCCTCGTCGTCCACCTTCTCTTTCCCCTTAGCACTAGGTTGCTTCTTTGGTGCTGCCACTGTTGTGATGGGCTTGCGCTTTTTGTACGCCCTCCAGATCTTCACCACCTCCACCCAGTCGGGCTCGTATGGCAGCAATGCCATGCACATGAGGTCCGACAGCCGCGCATCCTTGATGGCACCCCTCAGCCAGCTCTTGATGATGTTTTGACGCGAGAACCCCCGCTCGCACTCGACTGTGCTCAACGGTAGCACAGCGACAGCCATCCACAGCTTCACCAGGTTGGGGTACGCGTCCTCCCAGTCGGGAGACCTCAGCATCGCCGAGAGACCCGGGTAGAACTTTCTCTCGGACTTCGGGGCTCCAACGAGAACCGTGCAGAACGTGCGGAGCTCCTTGAACGCCTTCTTCTTGTTGACACCTGGAGGGAGGCAGGGAGTGCGCAAGCACAAGCAAAAGAAAAAGGTAAGCAGGGCTCAACAGACAAGTGGTGCCAGTGTTTAGGTGCTACACAACAAAGCAGAACAAACAACGATGCACAGACCGAAGGTAAGTACGTACCTGGAACGATCTCGTCGCACTCTTGGGCATTGAAGAGCGTGGTCAGGGACTCGAGGTGCCCCGTGCAGACGATGGAACGCTCCTGCCGTCCATGGAGCCACTCGTCAGGCATGAACAGCTTCACACCGCTCAGCTTGTCGAGTGAACCCAATCGCTCATCTAGGTTATGCACGAGCGCCTCCGCCATCGCCGTGCACTGCTCCACGCATCGGTCATGGGTCCCTGCAATGGGGTAGCCTTCAAGGGGGGAGTCATGCAGC